TAATAATAATAATAATAATAATAATAATAATAATAATAATAATAATAATAATAATAATAATAATAATAATAATAATAATAAAACAGCAGCAACAGCAGTATCGGTCATAACAATTACGATGACCATTATATGCTTAGCTTAACTCTTTTCAACCTTTTCTTCTCTATTAAATGCTTCATGCACCTGTCACAACAACATCTAAATTCAACATAGCATCTATGATTATTAGTAGAAATCAGACAACAAAGATATGCTGCTTTCCTTTTTTTCACATTTTTTACTTTTTTACTTTGAATAGAAAATAATCCAATGAAATCCAATTGTGCTTTCATTTTCATATAGAACTAAAAAAAACTTTTAATAAAGGAGGGGGGGGGGAATTTTGAATCAAATAATTGAATTTTTGGATAATAAAAGAGGAAATGAAATGTATATTAGCCATAAAGGAAGCAATTAAATAATCTGTTTAGTAAGATTTTTAATTCTAAACAAAATGCAAATTCAAGATAAAAAAGAATGAAGCTATTAGCTGTGTTGTTATAAATTTTGAAAGCAATTAAAATTTAAAAAAAAAAAATTACAAAATGTATATATTAGCAACAATCAATAATTAATCATATTTCTTTTATCAAGCGAAATTTTCCAGTGTAAAACTTATTTAATAGAAGAAAATGTATAATTCATATTTTTCATCAATGGAAATAAGCAAAGATTAATGATCAGCGAAGATAATTTTATTTTAAAATGGATTTTTTCATATTGCAAAAGTAATTTTAGGAAGTAAATTGTTGCTAAAAAAAAAAAAAATGGAATTATGTCAATAAAAAGAAATTAACAAAAAATAAACAATGGAATGATTCTTCAAACAATTCTAATGTTTAGTTTCACATGATCATAAACATAATAAGAAAACATAGGAAATGAAAAACGAAGATTCACTCCTCAAATCCAGTTTTTAAATTTAAATGTTAAATATTTCCGGGATATTCATTAAATTTGAATCTGTATATTTCAATATATATATATGTAATGTATGCCTTTCTTACAATAAAATCAATAATTGATTGTAAAAATTTTTTTTTTTTTTCTTGAGGAGAAATTTGACAATAAAATTCTTTCTTATTAAAATTCTATATCTAATATAGATTTGAAATTCTCCAATAAATTGTAGAAAAAATTGATAAACTGATCATCATCTGTTCAAAATATGATTGGACATAAAAATGAGGTGATAATGATTGAAAATAAATCTCAAAATATTCATCTAAACATTGTCATCTCATCTTGTATTTACCTTCAAGAGTATTTTTCATTCTGTAAAACTGCATTTGTAGGATTTGCCAAACCATTGCGAGAAATTACAATGTATTGAATGTATTATTGTCCTGTAAGATAATAATAACAATTAGAAAATTCACTCATTTTTTTACAAAAAAAGGAGAAAAAAGAAAATTTCGATTTAAATAAACATTAAAATAATTTAAACGATAATTAAATAATGATATCATAAATGGAAATATTATATTCCGATAGAAATAAATCATATTAGACTTAATTTTATCCAAAGTTATTCAAGAATAATAGAACCCGCTTAAACAAGGTTTATTTCCCCAATTGATCGATTGATTAATTGATTGATTGATTGATTTAGCTATATAATTTTTGCATGAATTATGATTAACTTTCGAAAAGAGTATAAGTGAAATATGAATGATAGTTATTAATGGATTAGTTATTAATATTACTATTTATTAATATTGATGGATTGCTTATTAATATTAATCGATAATTATTAATATCATTAATTACTAACAATGACATATTCATTTTACATTTTTCTCATTAATTCTGGAATATTTTAATTTTTTACTTAACCTTTTTTTTTTTTTTTTTTTACTAACTTTTACTAATTTACTAACCTACAATAAAAATTAGTTTGAATATCATTTAGGCAATTGCAAAAGAAAGTATCACAAGCCAATTGTGTGACATTACAATTGTCATAGCATTGATCATGCATCAAGCAACAAAAATTTACTGAAAATAAAATGAAATTAACAATCCTGAAATTAGCTAATAACATAAAAATCATATGATGTCATGTTCATCATTCCAGAAACGATCCTATCATTAATTCATCATTCTTTTTCACAAAAATAATCCTAGTATATTCATATTCATCTTAACTTAGCATCAATTATCTATCCATTGTCAACTCTTCTTGAATCCTTTTTTTTTAGGTCACCATTTTTAATTGAAAAAAAAAGTCGTTGACATTTCATTTACATTCAGTATTTCACGTTATTACATTTCCTTGAAAGGATTCAATACAAATCATTGTAATCATTTGTATAATTCGAAGCTAAAAAATCCGATCAGGAAAATTAGTTGGTTAGGTAAATTAACCTTAAATATTTCTTCCACTAATCAAGTAATACTAGAAGTTAAAGTTAAACTAATTGAGTGATTTTCATTAAATTTTAAAAATTCATACTAACTCTGATACTGTTCGCACGGCATAGTGAAGAGTTGAGATAGAAGTCGATAAAATGCATTGTTATTCGGACCACAATAGTAATTTGATGTCCATGAATAATGTACGGTAAGTAACAGTAAGAAGAAGATTGTATGTATACCAAACGTACCTTTCAAATACATCGATCTGAATGAAAATCTAGTAGCAGATTTAATTTAAATTTAGATTTCTTGTAAACTTTAATTAACAGAAAGTAAATTTGACTATTTGTCAAAGACAAAGATTTGAGTTAAATTCAAATTTCACAAATTTTATTCACGAAAAAATATTTCCTTTTTTTCTCTTACAAAAATTTGGCATAATTTATAATTACAATTAATTGTCATTATATCCTACCTTTATATTTACATTTAGTATGATTATATAACTGATCACTGCAATTATTCGTTTTATCAAATACTGATAATACTTAGGAATATTCTTTTCATCTCATTCCTTTTCATAATACCTTTATCCTTTCTCATATCTAATTAAATTGATAGATTATAATTTGGCTAATCGTTTTCCATGCTGCTTAATAGTATAACATAAGCAATAACATTTGCATTTACTTAAATCTCTTCCTCAAATCATATTCCGCAGGAACGACGGTTATCTTTTACCGCTATTCCGCATCATCTTAGAATTTATGATTTTTTATTTTTCTTTTTTGTCCTGAGCTAATTTTCTTCAATCACCATCAAAGGAATGAATTTCACGGGAATGAATTTTATGGCATATAATTTTAAATATTAAGTGAATTATCCTATACCATCATTTATTATTAACCAACCGTAATCGCTATCTATTAATTAAAACTATCAATAAGAACTCTCCCAACTATTTCATTCTGATTAGTTATTAAACTAAAAGTAAACTTCTCGACAGTGTTTCGATAATTTTGAAGAAAATTTTTAAATGAAAAAAGAATAGAAAATACAAAATACTGGGAAAAAAATAGTTACTACTAAATTTTAATAAAAAAAAAAAACGTAAAAATTTGTACTACTACAGAAAAAAAACGAAAAGAATATAACATTTGAGAAAAATTTTAATGTAAATTAACTGTTGAGTTGAATTGTAATAAATCAAAACTTACCTTTACCTTAATTGAATTTGAAATCCAAGAAGAAATGAAGAAAGAATCCAATAGAGTGCGCTTTTATGCAAATTTGAATGCTAAATTAATATTACTGTTTTTCGAAAAAATATCACTTTAAATTGAATAAAACTTTATCATAAAACTATAAAAACTTACTGTAATCTTGACTTCAAAATCTTTTAATCCTACCGCATTTGATACATTTCTCTTGAAACATTTCTCGTGTTAATCCTTAAATTATTAGTTTTTTTTTTGCTAAAAATTTTCATACAAACAATTGAAAAGGAAAATTTAGAAGAGTCTGTCAATAATAGTGCAAATATTTCATTTGTGTAATCACAATGAAATGTTTAAGAAGAAGTAAAAAAAAAAAAAAAAAAAAGGAAGAAATAGATGTGTTCTTGAGAAATGACATAGTGATTGAAAATGAATAAATGACATTTTTTTAGTGGTGTAAAAATAAAAATTTCAGAGAAACCAAATGAATACACTACGACGATCATTTTAGGAGTAGTAAAGAAATATCATGAAATATGAGAAATAATGTTTTCACATTTAACTTAACTAATGATTACTTATCAGTTAAAAAATATCAGTACAATCAATCCTATCTATCCTTTTATATGTCATCGACAATGATTAATATACCGAAATGTGGTACAGGGTATAAGCTTATCATAAATGATGGCAGCTGTTTAAATATTTACTTTGATTATTGTTTGTTTCAGATAAATTCAATTTAGCAATCAAGAAAATATTCGCTTTAAATCGTTTAATGATAAGATGAAATTGGATGACAATAATGAAAACAATTTTATATATTATGTAAAGAATTATTGCAAAAATTTATCAACGAAAGAATTTTAAATATAAATGATTGAGAAGTAATTGTTAGCATTAATATTGGTGACAGTACAAAAGTAAGAAAGAATGTAAACATTACTATTGGGATGATGATGATGATGATGCTGATGTTGATGACAATGATATTGATGTTGATAAGAATGCATCATTCATTACCAATCATTTCATTAGATAAATTGAGGAGATTTTTCGTTCAGGTATGAAATAAATATATTTGAGGTTAAAACTTGTTATCTGTTGAAAAATCCCAAAATTTCGAAATTGAAACATTTCTGCAAATACTAAAATAATGATTATCAAAATTATCAGTACATCAGGATCAAAAAAAAAACTTTCAAATGGCAACTGTAATCAAAAGTAAATTTAATATTTGCTCTGAAAACATATTCATCCTATGCAATCAATAAAATTATGTCAACTTCTGCAAAATAGTAAAATAATGATTATCAAAATTATCAGTACATCACGATCAAAAGAAAAAAAAAAAAGAAACTTTCAAATGGTAACTGTAATCAAAAGTAAATTTAATATTTGCTCTGAAAACATATTCATCCTATGTAATCAGATAAAATTATGTCAACAATAATAGAAATAGAAATTCATAGAACTCTTTGAATTTTTTCTTCATTTCTTTATTTTTCCTTTTGCTTTTTTTTTTTTTTTTAACAAGACAAAAAATTTCAAAAAGTCAATGAGCTTTCATTTTATTGCTGTAATTAATTGCTACATTTTCATATATTAATTACCCTTCATTCAATCCTGTTATTCATTTCTGAATGACATTTATTCATTAAATTAAAATTATCAGCTGATTAAGAATGATGCAATTAGCGATGCTAAATGTCATTGAATTCATATTTACAAAAAAAAAAAAAAAAAAAAAACAATGCTACATTTCAAATGAAACACAAAATTTTTTCTTATCAATAATAAGTGATAAAATGATTTAACAAAGATTAAAGTGAAACCATAGAAAAGAATTTAAATGCTACTTACACCGTATAAATTTTG